AGTTGCTAAGGGCACCAGAGGGGTGGGCGCCCAGTTAGGGCGGTGGGGGGGGTTGCAGGGGTTGGGAGGCGGGGCGCAGTTTGGCGCCCCTGAGGGCCGGCGCGCCCTAGGCCAGACACTAGCTGGCCTAGTGATAGAGCCGGCCCTGGTAATGCCCCTGTATGATTCTATGGTGTGGCCTCATTTGGAATACTGTGTACAATTCTGGTCACCATATCTCCAAAAGGACACTGCAGAGCTGGGAAAAGTACAGAGGAGGGCAAACAAGATGATTAGGGGGGTTGGGGCACCTTCCCTGTGAGGAAAAAGAGTCTCTTGAGTTTAGAAAAGAGACAACTAAGGGGAGACAAGATAGAGGTTTATAAAATTATGCATGGGATGAAGAGGAGTTGACAAAAGGACATTTTTCTCCTTCACCCAAAACACTAGAACTTGAGGGCATCCAATGAAGCTGATGGGCAGTAGGCTCAGGACGGATAAAAGGAAATACTACTTTACACAGAGAGTGATTAAAATGTGGAGTTTGCTGCCTGAGGATGTAGTGATGGCCACAGGAATAAACAGCTTTAAAAGGGGATTAGATTCATGGAGGATAATGGCTACTAGCCATGGTAACTGAGGGGAACCTCCACATTCAGAGACATTAAACCTCTGAATCCCAGAGCCAGGAGGTAACATCAGGGGAAGGCCTCGGCCTCTATGCCCTGCTATTGGCCTTCCAGAAGAACTGGTTGGCCTCTGTGTGAGACAGGATGCTGGACTAGGTGGACTCTCAGTGATCTGATCCAGCAGGGCTCTTCCTACATTCCTATGTTGTGTTGATTCTGAATTCTTGTAACTGGATACAAAAATTCACCAGCAGTCTCCTAATGGTAGATGGGTAAGTTCAAGCATCTTTGCCGGTGTAGCGAGACGTGGGACCTCATTTATCACTGCATAAAACTAAGGAAATCCAGATTCTGGAATCCCAAAACAATTATTCCAGTGAACCAGTTTTGCAAATAATTCCTTGTTATGGATTTTTTGTCCAAAATCCAGGTTTTCAACGTTTTGACAACAGTTGGGTACTAGAATCCTACAGGGTCACCATAAGTCTGCTGTGACTTGACGGTACTTCGCACATACTGTAGGCAGTTCTCACATACGTAGGATGGGCTTGGATCCTTTGGATGCTAGTTTCTGTAACCTTCTACTATCAAGACGTTGTGCAATGGCATTTCAACATTATTTTTGCAAGAGAAATCCGTTATTGCTATTTTAATTAGACAGTTTAAGAAGTCCCAGTGTGTGCTTCAAAGTATTGCCAGGTATGTATGCTCCTAAGTTAGGGATGATTCCTGTTAAGTATGAGATTTCGCGCAGCTCATTGCTGTGATCCTCTCTCCCGTTGGCAAGCTCGAGTGGTAGATGCAGTCGATGCGTCTGGTGTCGGTCTGGGCGGATCTTCGGTTTTGCTGCAATGAAGTTGGTGGTGACCTTTTGGCTTTTGACGAGCAGCAAACCCAGGCGATGTGACCCGGTTTTCCACACTCATGGCATTGTGCATCGCGGAACCGGCAACCCCAGCGGTCGTGGTCCCCTCCACAGCTGGCACAGTCCAATTTGAGACCCGGTTGCCGTTGGTACCTTTGGTGGCGACCAGCCTTCGTTTGATGAACGCCCCTGTCCTCGCTGTCGGTTTCGTCCCAGCTGTCATGGTGGACCGACAGGATGCGGCGGGACCCAGAAGGCGAAGTGCGTTGTCGGACCTCTTTGGTGGACTGCTCAGCGGCTTCGGCGGCGACAGCCTCCTCATAAGCAGTCTGGGAGGTGAGCTCCCTTTTAGCGAATAGCCATCGCTGTAGCTTTTCATCCCGTAGGCCGCAGACCAGCTGGTTTTCCAGAGTGCTGGCATGTACTCAGCGATGGATTCACCCTGGTCCTGGTCACGCTTGTGGAAGGCGTGCCTGCAAGCGATCTCCAACGGTCGGGGGGTGAAATGCACCTGTAGCTGTTTAGTGATTTCAGCTAGCGAGGTTGCTGACAGCTCGGCCGGCGCCACTAGCGTCTGGGCTAGGTTAAACACGTTCTTCCCACAGACGCTCAGGAAGGTGGCCTTCTTGACAGCTGGGTCTGTGATCTTGGAAGCTCTCTTATTCATAATATCCTAGTAATATCCTACTTTTCTCCCCACTGGGGACCCTAAAAAAACTTACAACATCATTCTCTCCTCCTCCATTTTATTCCCACAATTACCACCTTGTGAGGTAGATTAGGCCGGTAGTGTGTGACCGGCCTAAGGTCACCCAGCAAACTTCCACGGCAGAATGGGGATTCAAACCAGGGCTCCCTCCCCCAATCCTTGTCCAACACTCAGACCACTGCCCCATGCCGGTGTGATTTGCATTTTAAGAAATTTTTTTTTGTTCTAATTAGACATGTAATACTGAACCTACTGAAAAACTTTGATCATTAGTGAAATGGCTTTTTTCCCACTTCTTCACCATGTTTGGGTGTTTTCCCCTTAGAGGTTTTTATGAGCCTCCTTTTTGGCCCCACTGGCTAAACTGTTGTTCAGAGGTTTCCAAATATCTGGCGGGAATTTCACTGGGAGCATGCATCACTAGTCGAGTTCCGAGCAGGAAGGAAACTTCAGCATGTTACACAGTTTAGTTTACAAATACGTTTCCTGCTTGATGGCAAGATCACTTTCTCGGGAGGCAAGTCAGGAAAAATGTTATGGGACCTTTCCAAAAAATCCCCTCCGAGTTGTGTGTGTTGGCTGCATATCCAGTAACTTTGGCTGGCCCAAGCAGGTCTCGTTTCTAATAATAATAGTAATAATAATAGAGATAAGATTTTCCCATCATGATATTTTTGAACTGATTTCATGTGCGGGAGATCAAGCGCCAGAACGTCTAAACACAAATTTAGAGTGGTAGGGAAAATGAGATCTGTCCTCTTTGGAAACACAACATTCACCGCCAGCCGAAATAATAGAATGTTTGCCCCCCTGTATTGCAAATCCCCATTCATTTTTGACATCTCTGGCTGCCCAGGAGCGTTTCCAGCCAGCTTATTGCACATTCAGAATATATATGACTAGGAGTAAGGCCCGTTGTGGAAATAAATACAATGAACTCTAGAAAGAAGCTTTGGGCAGGTGCCCTGGCCTTGGGCATTCAGCATCAGTGTGCTGCAGCAATCTCAGCAGGGTATAATGACACAGAGTCCACTGTTTTTTTCCAGGGGAACTGATCTCTGCCAATAATAATAATAATCTGAAGCGGTTTTAATTCTGAGTGATCTCCAGCTCTCACCTGGAGATTGGCCGCAATGGTTCCCCAGGAGAAAATGGCTGGTTTGAAGGGTGGAGTCTATGGTATTGTACCTGTCTGACATCCCACTCCTCCTCAAACCCCACCCTCTCCAAGCTCCACCCCTCAAATCTCCAGGAATTTCCCAACCTGGAGGTGGCAACCCTATCTTCTTCCCAGCCAACCATCAATCTAATGTTATCTGCCCCTCTGACTTCAGGTTTCAATCTCCTCCCCCCTCCCTGCAGCCTCTACCTAGGAAAAGTACAGACTTTCTGCGCAGTGGGGACGAAAGCGGCTAACATCATTCTCCTCTCCCCCTTTCGATCTGCACAACAACCCTGTGAGGTAAGTTAGGCTAAAAGTCTGTGAGTGGTCTGAAACAGAGGAGTCAGAGATGAACGCAGGGTCAACAAAGCCAAAGGTCAAAAGCCGAGGATCAAGCCGAGAAGAATTCCACAAGGTCTGGAGCAGAGATGCAAGGATTCAGGTCCTGAACAAACGACGTTTGCCAGCACAAATGACTGCTGGCAACAGACTTGCATATATACAGTGCTAGCTAATCAACTCATTAGCTAGCCAGGAGTGAGGACAGGATCCTGTCAGTAATCAGGGCT